AGAGAGAAAATCTAAAAAACTAGACAGAAAACAGTTCTGAATTAAGGGAGGTTGTTTTCTAGATATAAAAACAGTCCTGAAAAGAGAGAAATTCAGTTTTTGATTGGCAACATAATTCCATCAGGCTTTGGTTTAGTTTGAAGCCTCAGTAGTTAATATTGTTTCTTTTTGGTTTCGACTCCAATTCGTTGAAACTTCCTCTGCAATCTACTGCTCCAACCTTGGTTTGAGTTCGAGTCCATTTTGAGTTTTGCATGCCGTTTGTTGCTACCTGATTTTTCACAAATCTTTCGGGTTTCATTTGAGTTGTTCCTGGTGCACTTGGTTACTGTCACTGCTGCTGTATTTATTGTTGTTGCTGCCTTTCCTGTTTGTTGTTGCTGCTGATTTCTCTGCCTTATGTTTCTTCTGTTGTATTCAACATCCAGGTACACGCTTCTGAAACTATGGATTGATGTACGTTTGAATTGGAAGTTGAGTTGAAGTAAACAAAGAAATGAATCGTTCACCTACTTTCACAATACCTGTGTTTCAAATATAGCAATAGGATTAAAATGATTCATTTGGTTCCTATTTGCTTGGACTCATTCTAATCTCATTTGGACTGTTAATACCAATTTTGTATAAATTGGGGTGTACCTGAACCAATATGGATTGTTAAGTAGTATGTTGTTATATTGGTTAGACATATGTCCACGTGTTTTAGCAATTTAGTTTGGTTGGTGATGATAACATAATACAGAATATTAGCAGGCATTTGTATGTATCCCGTTGGATCTTTGAATTATTTTGCCATGGCCCGATTCAGTTTGATTTCAACGCATATGTCAAGCAAATTTCATATCACGTTAGTTAATGCCAATGGATTAACCATTAATGTCAACTCTCTCGTTTGAATTCCCTGTTTCAATATAGGTTTAATAGTGTAGTTTAATAATTAATTTTAGCATCGGCTCACCATGTAAATAAAATGGCTATTAACTCTATAGAATCGGCAGGTTTTTACATATTAGGGAATACGAATCAATGGTGCGGGGTTAAGAGCTTTAATCTAATAGGCGTGAATCTAGCAAGATGGCTAAAATTGAGATCTAATAAACTTTCGAATAAGCACTAAGACTCAAGGTTGATGTTTATTTTGACTAGTCGAAAACAATTATTGGTCTATCCACATAATTATGTGAAGTTAATCTAGTTATAGAATAATTAATCTTCCTTGAACATATTATTTTGTCGATTTTGTATTCACTTATAATTCCAAATTTTAAGTAATATTCTTTTCTATTAACGTTCGTCTTAATCTAGTATGTAAAATGATGTGTTTGTAGTATGTAACTAAATAAGATCTTCCTTTCGCTCTCTCTTATTTTTAGAAACAAAATTAATAGAAATGTAGTCTTTTTAGGATACCTTTTAAAATAAATGAGATGAGCCTCGCTAAATAAAAATGCACAAACTGCGGGGCCCTCATAAATGTATATACTAAAAAAAATACTCAGAATTTGGGATGGGCTGTTCAGCGAATTTCACAGCCTTCCTCAAAGATAATAACGCGTTAGACTCTTTAGGCGCGATTTAATTAAATTACATTCTTAAATTCGGGTGCGCATTTATGTGACCCAAATTCAAATCTCAACGGAGTCGAAATGTGTTAACAACTACGGGTGCATTGATTGTGACGTGGTTCGAGATGCATTTTCACGACGTTGCAATTCTATAAAAATAAATGATAATAATAAAAGCGGTTTAAACTTAATAAAAGCACGTAAGTCATAACATGTATTTAAATCAGATATTTAGCCATTATAACAATTTAAGAGACCGTGCTAGAACCACGGGATTCGAGGGTGCCTAACACCTTCCCTCGGGTCAACAGAATTCCTTACTTAGAATTTCTGGTTCGCAGACTTCATTTGGAAAAGTCGAAAATTTCCTCGATTTGGGATTCAAGATAAACCGGTGACTTGGGACACCAAAAGCCGAACCTTTCCCAAGTGGCGACTCTGAATCAAATAAATAAATCCCATTTCGAATATTGTCACTTAAATTGGAAAAACTCCCTCGCGCATTTACCCTTCGGGGTGGGCGCGCA